GGATGACAAATCACATGAATCACATGTTACAATTACAATTAAATCTTAAAAAAAGGATCTCTAAATAATCCCCCAAAATTATAGTTAACATATTGTTTATCAGCAATTATGTACTGAATTAAATTATTATCAGATTATTAATCTAACGTAATATTTATTATTTTTTATTTTGTATCAATTATTTGAAAAACTTCTAGTTCATCAAATATACCACGTACTATATTGATGCTATTATAAGTCTTTGGTGTGCCACCAAAATAACTAAATCTACTAAACCAAACATCACAGCCATCACCAAAATGAGGTAACCGATTAGGATGACAAAGGACTGCATGCTCATAATTATTATTAATAACATAACTAAATTGTGCAGTATTAATATCATTTCTATTACTAATATTAAAAATAAAACTTTCTGTTGTATTTTTATACCCATTTCCATTCCAATTAAGTGGGTTATAACCACCAAATATTTGCTCTGAATTTTGCGTTTTACCAACTAAAAGGGTTTTGTTGATATTGTCACATTTTTGATGGAATGTAGCTACATTTAAACCATCTCTGCTACTTTGATATAGAAGTTTGAATTCATATTTGAACCTCCTGGATGAAGTGTATGGTGGGTTTTTTTTATCAATCCAACTTGCAAAAAGCAAAATAAGATTTTGATTGATTGTCAATGATTCAAGCCTCGAGTTTAACAATTTAAATTTTGGATTTCTTGATGGTAATAAATTTAATGTTTGTTGCTTATCTGGAATTATGTAATGTTGTAAAAGGGGTTTCCATAAAGTCCTAGGAAAAAGTATATCATATGGTTCAATTTTATCAAGAAAATCATCTTTAGAAATATCCTGAAATCTTATCAGAGGGAGAAAATCTTTTAATGTGTTGCCTAAATCAACAAAATTTTGTAATGACCAATCTTCAACATTGATATTATTGATTTCTGGATGTTTTGCTAATCCCCATTGAAGAATGTTTTCCCAAATAACTATTTCATCAACAGAAAAATTACCTCTTTTGAGAATTTCCAATAGAATTGCTTTTTCCAATGATTTAAATTCATTTGATCCAAATAATTTTTCACTATATTCACAAAACTTTTCCAAATAGATATTTTTCAATTCCTTAAAATTTTCATTAGCATAGATCAATTGTAGAATTTTAATTGGATTTTCTTCTATACAATCTTCAAAATTTTCAACAAAATATTTCATAATATATTCATAAAATAACTTAATACCAAGTTCATCTGTTGCAGTTAATAGTTCTAATACTTCAGCTCCAGAATAATTTCCAAATTCAAATTTACATGTGTATAAAAACCTTAAAAAATAAATAAATTATTAAACACATTCATCATTATTATATATTTAATAATATTGATAAATAATAATAAATTTATTTAAACATACTTGAGAATAGGTTTAAAACATTTTTCACTGATATCAGCTTTTTTAACAGTATAATATCCATTTTCTTTTGTTGAATTATTTAATACATTGCTAAAAAATGGACAATGAGCTGATATGATAGATGCATGTGCATGAACCTCTTTAATGTTTGGTTCTATGCCAACATATATTTTCACATCATAAAAATCTTCAGTATTTAATAATCTTTCATTTTCACTAAAATATTTTTCAAATACCAAATACATTTTTTCAATAAATATAAAAATGAAAAATGAATGGCCAATCCATGTTACAATTGAAAATAAAAAATCTCAAGTCATGTGTCAAGAATTGTAACCCAAATTATGCATAATAATAACTCGGGTTGCACGCTTGCAATATGGAAGGCGTTATAAACAAAGATCTCTTTAATTACAGCAATATTTACAAGATCGAAATTGAATAATTAATAATTATATTAAAAAAAAAAAAAAAATTAAATCCATTAAACCAAAAAAAAAAATCAGCTACTTTAATAAATGTCTTACTCTATGTTTAAGTCCAATATTTAATTTGTTTTCATAAACATCATCATCATTTCCATCATTATAATCAATCTTAAAAATAAATATCATCATTCCAATGTACTGGATTGTAATCACCAATTAATACACCATTTTCTTTAATGTCCATAATTAAAGCCCAGAACGAGCCGAGCCGAGTTTATGCTTAACTCGAGCCCGACTCGGGCTCAAATATGCGAGTTCGAGCCAGCTCGCATATAAAAAAATACTGGCTCAAACTTGGCTCGAACTCGAAAACTCGAGTCGAGCCGATCCAAAGCCGAGTTTGAGCCAACTCGAAATTTAATATTATTTTTTTATAAAATCACGATTTTGCGGGCCACTGAAAATAATTGAAGTAATAATAAACTATAATAATTTGTATAAGTTTAGAACATTTAAATCATCATAAATAATTTTATGACAGACTAAAAAATTCCGAAAATTTCAAATGAGAACAATGCTTTTTAGGTTCTGGAATATATGCACAAGAAATTGCATTATACTAAAATTATTAATCACGTTCAATGAATTTTATGTTTTAAAAATTCATAGTAACGCGAATTTAATTGAAACGACTGTATAAAATTTCACAATGTTTGCTCAGATATTTGTAGAGAATCAAAACGAATGCAACTTGTTTAAAAAATCTTTATTATGAGCTAGAGTTCCTATTCGTAATACAACTCAATTAATTCGAATTATTAGTTTTATTGGTTTATTTTATTCGTTTATTCGTTTATTTGAATTATTCATTTTATTTTATTCGAATTATTTGATTCTCTCAAATCATTCGTTTTATTTGTTTATTCGAATCGTCGCTTTATTCATCTATTTGAATCGTTCGGTTTATTCGCTTTACTCCTTAAGTTGAGCAGGCTCGAATTAAAACTTGAATTTTCAAGTTCGAGCTGAGTTCAAGAAAATAGGCTCTTAAATTGTTTTTTAGGTAATGTGCATAAATAAAATTAATCATTTGTTACTTAAAAAAATTTATGTGGCGTCAGACTTGAGCCTATTATTTCTTGGCTCGGCTAGGCTCGTTCGGAGCTTTATTCATGATGGTTTACGGTTTATTCAGCATTGTTACATTTTTCCTCAAAAACTAATGTAGATTAGAGCTTGGATTCCCAAAGATAACCATCAATTAAAGTCCCTAATAATCTTTGGGATATTAATTTAAATATCTAAATACTTATTATTATTATCTTTTAAATTATAGCAATCCAGATATCATATCTGTTTAAATCATAGCAATTCAGATACCCCATCCAGGAATTTTAAGAGGATATCCGTTTATCAAAACTCTATCTGGCTCTATTGTAGATCTGCAAAGCACCAGTTTGTATCTGAGATATATTATTTGGATCATATGTATTATCATTTTCATCTAATCAGCAAGAAATAAGGAGCTTTGATTGTGTCTCCCAGCTCCTGTTCTTAGACTATATACTTCGGTTTCTATATATATACTGGATTGATAATATCAGGATTGACAATTGACCAGTCCATTAGATCTATTGGCGTATCATATTAGCATTTTATTAATGACAATAGACCAGATCAAAATACATAAGCCTCAACCACTACCAACTCTGGATAATATTGAATGATTTCATGATATAAATTTGTTTTAAAAATTTCTTTATATGGTTGCAATCCTTTCATTAAAATCATTTTGGGAGCGTCATAGAATCTTATTACCTCCACTTTTTCGAATTACTTTGGTAATTTTATCAATAAACAATTTTAAACCTTTTAGGAAATTCAATTTCTGGTCCGACACATTTAACATTAATAAATACTAAATATGGTTAGTGTAATATGTCAATAATTAACTGAATATTTTAATATCTTTATTATAAAATTATAAATAACTAATCAATAATATTGCTGGTATAGTACTTGATGCACTTAATCTCATGAAGGTTAACAATCTGGCGCAAGTTTATATAAACTTGCGAGAAATAGTTGCTTCGTGGCCAACAAAACTGGACTAATGATTATTATAATAACAAATATTGGTAATTAACTTTTTTATTTTCATTGTATTTTAATTTGATGGCGCGAATAACAATAGATATAATGATAGAATATTTAAATTTATAAATAAAAGAATACAATATTCAGCAAAATTAGATTATATAAAGCCACAAACCTAATTCATTTAAGTGCATAAAAATCACCGTCCAAATTGGTACTCGTAATCAAAATAATAAATAAATTATATGGTTGAATATAAATAAAATTACCAAAATTATCGTTTGATTTGACAAATAAAAATTCGTCCTTACATCATAGTTTCGTTGCAGTTCTCTATTAACATTTTTCTTTCGATAATCTCTCTATAGAACAATAATTTTGTATAAAAAGAATGACTTATGTCTTGTTGAACTTTTACGTCTTTAAATCAACAACCAATCAATAGTTTTATCCCAAAAAGATGTATTCTCGGGATTTGCCATAGCTTAATTAACAAAATAATGAATTGAATGAATCTTTAAAAGGATTTATGTATGCCTGATGTTTTGAAGGTAATCCAACGATAATTTGAAAAGAAGGAACCCTCACTATTTCCAAACACATAAAGTAGTCTCCTCTCACTTTTGAGCTATTGTGTTTTGTGTTTATTTTTCCATTAAAATCTTTAACAATATTAACAAATTGTCAATTTAAATTATTATCAAAGATCCAAGTTAAATGAAAGTTGTCAATAAACAAATAATATTATTTGTGCTATTGAATCGGCATAAAAAAATTTTTTGCGGAGCGCCAAAGTTCTTAAAATGTTATTATGTCAGTCAATCTGCCGAGGAGAATTTTTAATTTATTTATTTTTTTTATATAATTTATTTCATTATAATGAAAAGCAATGTTTAAACAGCCCCAATTTTCAAACAATTAAAGCTGCATTGTCATATTTTATTTATTATTATTTATAATGATGATTTTCTTTGTATTATTTGTTATAATAAGGATTTAAAAACAATGTAAAATTCAAAAAAGAATTTTTTAGGTAAATTTTTTGACAATGAGAAATATGGGGTTGGTTGATAGAATGAATATATATATAATTAATTATTGAATAATTTCACGTTTCACGAAATTAAAATGATTGTATTTATCAGGTTATACTGTATATTAATATATTAAAAGATTTTTTATTTATTAAACCTTGATCATTTAAACAGCTTCTTATTTTGTTTTATGAACTTAAGCTCAAATATCTGACCATCTATGATCTGTAGTATCAAATGAAAAATATTGAAACATTTAATTATCCAAAAAGCAATTTTTTAATTGAATGTAATAAAAGACCGGATCTCTTTGTTTCGCCATTAAAAAACGTGTTCGACGTAGCGAATTACGTACTTACATATTTGTAAATATAGAATCAGTATAAAATTGTTCGTGAAAAGCATCCGACCGCTCTCTAATGAAACTTTAAATCTATATGCAAATTGACATGTTTACTTAATGCACTAAGCCAGGTTTGGTTAATACAATTTGATATGCATAATTAAATAATAATAATGTGAATCTATCCGATTTTTTCATGGTTCCCTTTGTTATATGAAACGATTTTATTAGAATTTTCGATTGCCAAGATTTTTGGAAAATCGTTCTAATTGTTGAAAATCACAGAAGTTTTTAGTCGAGAGGCATTGTTATGGAGTGAATATGGTTATTTCATATAGTTGTTTTGAAGTTGTAATAAAGCAAAAGTGTCACAATAAAAAATGAGTTTTTTACACCATTAGCATTTTCATAGCCATTAAATCTCTCCATAACTATATACTACTGTCTATATACTACTTTTATGTAAACTTGGTATCCGTAACCTTTGAAAATGGAGGAAGAGTAATAATTCGAAAAAGTGCTTTTTACCAATGTTTGGAACTCCCGATTGCTAAGGCTTTCTGGATGTCATTCTGTTTGTGAAAATATTAAAGGTTTTTGGCTGTAAAACACTGCTATGGAGAGAACATGATTGTTTTTAGAAGTTATAATAGAGCAAAAATATTATAATAAATGAATTTTCGTTGTATTTTAAATGGATTTTTTATATCATTAACATTTTTGTGTCATAAAATTTCTCCGGATCTCTTTATACCACTACTTACATTATTACATTTCATGCAAATTTGGTATCTACTGTATATCTTTGAATGAAAAAATAATAATTTGAAAACAGAAAATTCCGTTAATAATATGCCGATCACAAAAAAATCACATATGACTGATTTTAGAATGTCGAAGGCGTAACGTTTTCAAAAAGGATCGTCAGGTGGTCGCTTATCACAAGTTTTTTAATTTAAATTTTCATATTAATTAATATATATAATAAATAAATAATAATGGTTAATTTCATAAAACAATTTGATGCAACATACTTAAACAATTATCGATTATGGATTGTTAGTTAATAATTGTCGATAAAAGAATACAATGAAATATTATTATATTATTATATATAACAATAGCCTTTTTCTAAAATGTTTGTGTCGTCATCAAAATGAGGCTTTTTATATTATAAAACGTATAAAATAAATTATATAAATAAATATCCAATTGTTCTATACTTGATATATTTTATATTTTCCCTGATATAATTTTCCAAGAAAAATAAAATTTTAATATTTAAAAAAAAAATGCTTGAAATTTTAAATAAAAATCTTAAAATTCAATCAACAACAACAACACAAGACGATCAAAATTATCACTATGATGTATTAATCAAGGCTGGTGAAAAACTTCAAGAATTATTTGCACATTCAAGAATTTTACGTGAACGATCACCTTATTTCGAGGCTGCGTTATCATCAACTTGGGCAAAAAAAGAAGACGGAAAATTTGTTATTTTGAAACCAAATATTTCTTATGCAACTTTTTCGATAATAATAAAGTAAGAAAAATAAAAATAATCACGTTAATAAATTGGTTGGTTGATTTATTGATCAATATTAACTTTAACAAACTTGGTTAATTTATTTTTATTTTTTTCATTTTTTAATATGTTAGTTTTATATATACTAATAAAGTTGATCTAAGTCAATTCAATGGACCACAAGTATTGGAAATATTGGTGGCTTCAGATGAATTACTAATTTTGGGCGATTTAATTTACCCTGCACAAGATCATCTTATACAAAATGAAGCAAAATGGATCGAACAAAATCTTTTGACGGTGTTCAATATTGCGTGCGAGCATGAAGAATTCCAAAAATTGCAAGATTTTTGTTTGGAAATAATCGGATGGGAACCATCTATTATTTTTAAATCGAAAGATTTCTACGATTTATCAGAATATGTTTTGTCGATAATTTTAAAGCAGGATTTCTTACAAATTAGCGAAATCGAAATTTGGGATCATTTGATTAAATGGGGAATCCACAAATCAAAATTTAGCGACTTGGATAACGATATTAATTATTGGGATTTAAAAAAAGAGGATTTATTTGAATTGGAAAAAATTCTACATGATTTAATACCTTTGATTAGATTTTTGGAATTTAATATAGATGATTGCTGCGAGAAAATCAAACCATTAAAAGATATCTTGCCATTGGAAATCAAGCATGAATTATGGAATTATCACAAATATCCTAAAATTGAATTGGATCACATTCTACCAATCAGAAGCCCGATCTTAAATAATTTCGAATCAAAATTACTTAATCGAGATCAGATCAATAAATTTAAAAAATTCATCTACAAAAATGACGATTTCGGTCAATTACTTCCAAATAATTTTAACAAGGATACCTCACGACTAAAATTCAATCTTAGATTGTTGATACGAGGTAGTCGAGACGGACTTTCACCAAAGAAATTTCATCACTTATGTGATAATAAAGGTCCGAATATAGTAATCATGAAAGTAAAAAAAAGTCAACAAATAATTGGTGGTTATAATCCTGTAGGTTGGTTTGGTAAAGGCATTAAATGGAGATATACAAAAAAAGGTTTTTTGTTTAGTTTTGGCACTCCAGAGAAACAAGAATTCCTCATTAGTCGACCCAAGCAACGCTCATCACACTATACAATTTATGATGATCCAAATGCAGGTCCAAGTTTTGGCATAAATGATCTTCGATTCTATAAACAATTTAGTAGCGAGAGTAATAATTGTTGTGCAATACCTACCGTCTTTGAGACAAAGATTATCAACGAGACTGAATTTTTGGTTGAAGATTATGAAGTTTATCAAATTTATTTGGATTCCGATTTGAAAAACCTAGGTATTTAAATTGGTGGTGATGTTGTTATTTTATAATATTTATATTAATTTTAATTAAATATTAAATCTTAAATTTAAATTTTTTTAATTATAGCTTTACCTCTCGACTTCTATACTTGGTTTCGTTTATGGGGTTGTTTATAACTTTTTTTATTTAAATCATTAATAGTCGCAAATTAATGGATGTATTTAATTTATTTAATTTTTTTGTAGATAGGACAATTTTTTTAATTTTTTTAATATATGTAAAAATTTATACATTTTTTTTTGTATTTGTAAAAAAAAAAATCAAATAATAATAAAATAAAATATATAAAAAATTTTTTTTACTGTTTTGGTGAGATCATCTTCCTTGTAAAGTAAGCACATATATATATTTATATATATTAATTATATATTAATATATATATATATATATCCCACAGATATATTTTTTTACTCACAGTAAAATGAAATTTTTTTAATAAAGTTATGTTCTAGTAGATACAATAAAATAACTAAAGGAAAAAAATAGCACTTGAGAAAGTCTTGAAGTTGAATATAAATATTGATCTCGAGATAATTTAAACAGCACATTTCTAAATTATTCACTGTTCATTATACTCATTACTGGGGACAAAAAGAATGAATAATCTAGCAATGCAAAGTTAAGCAGGGAAGGAAGCGAAAAAGTTTCGAAAGATTAGTCTTTCAATTTAATTGCTTACTTCTAATTGACAATATTTAATTCTACAAAAAGACTATTATTAAACCTTAAACCTTAGCATTATTATTGTAAATTATTTCGACTTGTTTTATCAAGAAAACAGACATGGAAACAGTAATGAATCAAAAATAGCGTTTGAACATTCGAATTTATGATCTTGAGAATTAATAATTAAAAACAGTAGGTGATCTTTAAATAATAATAACAATTTTAAAATTGAAATGAAATCTGATTTTTTTTTTTTAATTTCGAATTATTTATTTTTAGATAAATCTTTGTTGTTACCTTTATTTTATTGATAATTATCTTTAAATACTTTAATCACTCTAATCATATATTTTGCAAGAAATGGCTAATCAGAACCTCGAAACTTGACGGATATAGTGCAATGGGAAATTTAGAATGGTTGAGGGAGGGGCCTTTGAATTTTGTTGAAATTGCATTGGGTTTCATTTTGAAGTACCTGTTAAGTTTTCCTATGTTCAGGCATTTTATCCCAAATAGTCACATGAGGCAATGATCTCTGGTATTAAAGCAAGCATTTAGCATCACAAGGATTCGGAAGAGTGGTGGGCGAATGTCATCAAAAATCTGCAAAATGTTATAGGTAAGAGTTATTTAACTTGATATTTAATTCTCAATCAAATAGCAGATCTTGAGCAGAAGTAAGCAAGCTGTTGGTGTAACTTTTGATTTATTTCTCTGTTGCCTGCCATGAGGGAGGATAACAATCGAGAACTTGCATAGGCATGAAGAGGATAATTTGTAAATCTAACACCCAAGCTCAATATCTTTAGGTTTAATTTATTTTTAGAACTCTGTGATTTGCAACTCCAAAGACTCAAGTAGAGTGAGTGAGAGACTTTACCATTATGGCTTTTTTTTTCATTACCACTTGGATGACAAGGTGATGATGAACTCTCATGTTACATGGAAAGGAAGCTCGGATTGAAATTCAAGGATTTATTTTTCAATTTTCTCATTTTTACTTGTTAGGACATTATATGGCTTTTTTCAGAATTGGTTCCTAGTATTATAATTTATTTGTTGATCCCTTGTAAATTTAATAAAAAACACACATGTTAGATAATAATAGCATCAAATGAATTGTAACGGATATATGATATAATATATTAATATGGAGACAAAGAAAGGCATGTCACACATACATACAAGGAAAGGAAGGA